CTGGCCCTCGGCGGAGACCAGCATGTGAGCTTGCGTTGAGGCTGCGGAGTCCAACATAGAGTCGCCGTCTGCTTCAAAGGAAGGTCTCGAGTGCGGGGAACCGTTTTGAGTCCAGAGACAGAAAAGGCGGGGAGTCGCGTCTTATTTACGGACCAAACTCACACTCGACACTCATATCCAACCTGCTAAGCCTGTTCCGCCCGTCGAACTCCTTCCACCGCAGCTGACATCTCACTTGACAGTTCTCAAAAGAACCTCTTCTGTCCACCAGCCCCTGGCCGGGATGCGCACAAACGGGGAAAGGACCGCACTCTCAATCTCCCGTTAAGATCGTATCAGATAAGGGCGAGCTGGCGCGATCCAAGCCCTAGAAATCTTTGGCTTTTACTCTTCCCCATCTCTGCCGCCTTCGGGCAACATGTGCCTCACTGCATCTCTCCACCTGGGACTTTTGAAAGTAAAACGCTTTGCTCCACAGGCTTCTCTGAAGTGCAGACAAGACTGTGCACCTTTCGAGATCTGGACTATGCTTAGGAACTGCGGATTATCATCGCTGCCTCGTCGCTCGGCACACTGTGAGCAGATGCCTTACATCATTCATGCTTGCTAGCATCACAATAAGGAAGGCTCATAGCGCTTTAAGCGATACTCTTCATCCATTTCTTTGCTACAATCTGATGTGATGAAAAAAAAATTCAAGCGAGCTTGCCCTCGGCCCATCGGTTGGTCTTGAGAGCCATTCTGTAGCAACGCAAAAGAGACAAGAGGCAAGAGAGAAAAGGTCAGCTTTTTGTATCCTCTACCTTCCGTCACTCATGCTTGAGGGGGTGGCGTACTTACTCGACAGCAGCGGAACCCCAATCCAAGCCGTGGTTGTGGCCCTTATTGGCGCCTCTACCGACGCCGCTCCTCTCCAGAGCCTGGTCCTCCGTCAATGCCGTCAAGACACCGAGAATGACTGGCACACCGGTGTCAAGCCCAATACGCATCAATCCGGAACAGCAACTCTCCGAGATGTACTCAAAGTGCATTGTCGACCCCTTGATAAGGACTCCGATTCCGATCACTGCATCCAATGCTGCCTTGCTAGCCTTGGCGCCGCCCGTCGTAGTAGGAGTGGCAGGTTTACTGTTGTCGTCGAGAAGCGAAGTGGCGCCCATCAGGTCAGACACATTTGACGAAGCCTGTACCTGAGAAGCGGAAATGAGACGGGAGACGCCAAAGGGAAGCTCCCACGAACCCGGGACAGACTCGATGACAATGTTCTCCGGCTTGACACCGGCCTTGGTGATGTTCTCAACGCAGCCCTTGACCAGAGGGGTGATGCATTCCTCGTTCCATCGTGCGTGAACGATGCCGATACGGAGGTTCTCGGCGCCAGGGAAAGATGTAGGTGCGGGTGCGGGGCCCTTGATGCTCGCCATTTTGAAAGTTTACAGTTCAAGTGGATAGATGAACAAGCGCCGTAGATAATGAGGCCGTGATTATATAGCTGTCGACGACGGTGAGCGGATAGTGTCCGTGAATGATTGCGTAAGAAGGCTTGTGATGGAGGCCGAGGCTGTGACGATGAATACGAATCTCAAGTGGACGCCGTCCGTGCATAGCCAAGCCCAGAATGAGCCGAAGCCACGCGCCGTTCCGCTTTCAGCAGAGTTTCTAAGACTCAAGCCGCGGATTCAGAGCGAAGGTGTTGGATCCAGGTGATCGAGTTGAGTAAAACGATCGTTGCCCGATCTATCCGCGCTTGCACGGAACTCACTGCTGGATCAGGCACAGTCTGGCTTTTGTTCAACCCATGGTGGCATAGGAAGAGAAAATGTGTAGCAGTCACAATAGTCTGTTCAACAGCAACAGTGTGGCTGAGTTAAAAGAAGTAGATCAACTCTCGAGCAGTGACAAGTTTGTTGACCATCACAGTTGCATGGTGCAGGAGTTGTCACTCTTCTTGTTGCTGTACAATATGAATTTAACATCTTTGATTTGGACCGGAACTCGCGACTTGCATCCCGACTTCAGTAGTGACGGCTTTCTAACCGGTCCTTCTCTGGCAGAGACCGTTGCCCCGTTGCGCTCTGTCCAACAGGCTATCACACCACAGTATCCTCCCTTAAGCCATCTCGTCACCTCGTCCCGTTTTTCGCATCCGCATCCCACCATCCTCCCACATTCCGACATGAGGACGTCCAAACTCGTTCGCAGCTCCTCATCCCTCCTTGTGCGATCCCAAACCACGACTACCGCCGCTCGTCTCCCCCGCACTGTCCACCCCACTGTAATCTCCAGCATGTCGCACAAGCGCACATCCATCGCTACCAGCAGGCTCAATCAGGTCTCTCGTCAATTCTCCTCCTCGCATCCCGCCACCATGTCTGCCTCGACACCCAACCAAGCCTCGAGGGGCGCCTCTGCTGTAGATGAAAACAAGCTGGTCAAGCTGCTCTCCGAAGGTGGTCTGCGCACCATCTTGCTCAATCGCGAGAAGGCGCTCAACGCGCTGAATCAGGAGATGGTCAACCTCATCGAGAAGGCGCTCGACGAGTGTGTGCAGTCCTCCACGTGCAACGTGATTCTCCTTCGTGGCGTCGGTCGTGCTCTCTGCTCCGGTGGAGACGTGCTCGCTGTTGTCAAAGCTGCCGACTCTGAAGATCCCAAGGTGCGCAACAAAGCCCTCGACTTCTTCCGAACCGAGTTCCAGCTCGACTACAAGATCGCCAGGCTCGGCGAGACTGCCAACGCACACAGCGCCGGAAAAGGCGCCGAAGACGCACGCACACTCGCCAAGAGCAAGGGTGGAGACTTGAAGAAGCCCAAGACGTTTGTTTCTGTCATGGACGGCATCACCATGGGTGGAGGTGTCGGTCTCTCGGTCCATGCCCCATTCCGAATCGCTACCGAACGAACGATGTTCGCTATGCCTGAGACCGGCATTGGGTACTTCCCGGATGTCGGTGTCACTCGCGTGCTCGCACGTCTCGATGGACGTATCGGACAGTACCTCGGCATGACGGGCGCCAGGATCAGTGGAGAAGAGGCTTACCTTGTTGGCTTGGCTACTCACTACGTCCCCTCTTCGAGCATCGACTCTATCGCTCATCGTCTGAGCACCCTCCCTGCTGAGAGCGCACTCAATCCTTCCCTCGTCTCCTCCGCCTTGAGCGAGTTTTCGTCTGACCCCCTCGCCGCCAAAGACATCCTGGACAAGTCTGCATTCTTTGGCGACCGTCGCATTGCGCTCGACTACGTCTTTGGTCAGCTCTCGTGCGAATCCATCTTCTCCTGTCTCGAGGAGATCTCTTCGGCAAAGGCCGACAGTCAGGCGGCTGCGGAACTTGCCCAGCTTGGCCTACCCTCCATCACCTCTGAAGTCCAGGCTTGGGCTACTCAAACCCTCAAGGACCTCAAAACCAAGTCACCACGCGCACTCAAGATCACTCACCAGGCCATCCTTGAAGCAAGAAGGTTCGACGTCGAGGAAGCCTTCCGATTCGACATGCGTCTTGCCACGGCCTTCTGCGACCTTTCCATCGGCCGAGACTTTTACACGGGTGTAACTCACGTTCTGGAACGGGACCCGGCCACTGGCAAGCGTAGGACTGGTATTGCCGACTGGGAACCGGCTTCGCTCGACAAGGTCTCGGACACCACCATCCGTGCTCAATTCTTTAGCGATTTGGAAACCGCCAAGAAGGCCGGGTTGAAGATGGACGTTCCGCACCTCTCTGCTATCCCTGAGCCTTTGACCAACAAGGAAGCTCGACAGGCTAGAGACAGCTTGTTGAGGGGCAAAGGACCGCTCAAATGGGAGCAGAGCCACAACGTGTTTGCTCTTCCCAGTGAGGCTGAGTGCGCGGCTCTGTTGGAAGGAAGCCACCCCGCAGCTGCAGCGGTAAAGCCCGATGCCAGCGAACTGGTCGACTGCTTGAAGAGGCACAAGGGAAGTCTGCCCGGTTTGGAATTCAAGGTCTTGGATTGGGTCAAGAGACAGGAAAGGCGACAGGCTTAGATTCAACCAAACATCTGTATCGACCCCTCTCAAAAGTTCGACAGCATGCGTTTTGCACAAGGTGACTCAGTCTCGCCTAGGTGTGTGAGTCAGTGTCAGCGGGACGCCCGATGTGATGCGACGAGATGAATGATTCGTATGCGGACCCTCCTGAAGGTTCGACAAGAGGGCGTTCCGCCATTCCGGCTAGCTCGACTATGAGCGTGTAAGAGCCAGATAGAATGTGACGGATGTAATGGAGCTTGTTGGCGCTAGGATCCTGTAGCAATGCGCTTCATGCTCCAACGCGGTGAAATGGTCGAAAGTATCTCAGTAGGATCACAGCAAGGAATGCAAAAATGAATCAGCTTCGCTCCCGAGGTGTGTCGACAAAATCGGACTAGCGACAAGTCGACTTTCTTTACTTCAGCTTCAGTTGTGCAGTACTTGAGTGACCAATTTACTCGTAGCATTCTGAGCCATCGCCTAGAGGCCAAGAGCTCGAGTGCGCTCAGCTCTCCCTTGCGGCACCTGGATGAGCTCGTACTTTTCATTAAAAAGAACCCCCCAACCATCTCATGGTCCAAAAATGTGCCCCTCACGTTGCAACACACTATGCGCACCCTCTTCCTCCCTCACAATCATGCTTCTGACAACCTTCGACACTCTTTGCCCTCTACAACTTTGTTGCAATCGAGTGGCGACACCGATCTACAGGCAGGAGGAGGAGGAGGAGGAGGAGGAGGAGGAGGAGGAGGCGAAATACCGCATCACAACCTCAAACAGAATATTATAAGCATCACCATCGCCAACGATCTCCGAACAGCATCAGCATACGCCTCTCACATCAACTTTTAGCTGCAACCAGCATTGTCCGATAAAAGAACCGGGTTCACTGTTCATCCGAACCCTGACCAAGTTCGAGCTCAAGGGATTGCGGAGGTCCTGCAGGAGGAAATATGTTCTAGAGGAACAACGGACAAAAATAATCTGAAAAAGGCAAAAAAGAAAGCTGTGCGTCCGAGGGGAATCGAACCCCTGTCTCCTGCTAACCGAGTTATTCCGTTTCCAAATAGGTGGAAGGCAGGAATAATGACCATTATACGACAGACGCTTGGATTGATGACAATGACGTCGTGATGTACAACTATATACTGGACGAATGCTTCCATCAAATGCTTTCTTGCTTGCCTTCTGACAAAGTGACCGCTTCCTAGCTGCCCAATATTGCCTTGAATAGCTTTTCAATGAGTCGCAAGAACAGATGAGAGCAACATAAGGTCAGACCTTTTGTTTGTGCTACCGATGCTGAAACTGGAACGGGCAGAAAGAGTATCATAGATGAAGAAGAGGCGATCCATGCTGCCACTCTGAGAGAGTGAGACCACGTCTTGATTTCTGAGAGGTGTGAGCTCGGGCCTCCTCTTTTGGTGGAAGAATGTGTCGACGCGCGCTGGATTTCACCTTTCTCTTATTCTGAAGGCTGTCAAGTGAGTGGAACGCGTCTTGTTGCGTGTATTTTCTCTTTTCTGTAGACAAGGAATTCGAATTTGAGAAGAAGCATACGAATTCAATTTTTGGTCAAAGCCCGGAAATTTTTTCAAGTCGAATATGTGATACTGTTTTTGTGGAATTCAAGTGAAGCGTGTTCCGCACGCAAGAGGTTCAAGGTGATCACTAACCCACCGATAAGAAAAGTCGGATCACTCGATCTTCAATACAATTAGTTATTTTGAATTTCCTTCTTTTTGCGTCGAGCGAGCACAGGTTTCAAGGCTGGGTCTGCTCCTGCCTTCTGCGCCCAATGGGCCTCAGCTCAACTGCCGGTGTGATTCCAAGAGTGTAGTGAGTGACTGTCTCGCACACACGCTGGGATTGCCCCTCTCCTTTGGCATCTCTGGTTGCTGCGCGCTACTGCGTTGAGCTGTGCTGTGCTGTTCTCCTCGTCTTTTTGACTTGGCCAGATGCTCTGGCCCTTTTTCGTCCGCAAACCACAGCAGAGAGCAGAGAGCAACAGCGAGAAATTGCTGAGCAGGGCCTCCTCGCCATCGCATCCGACTCGAGTCTGTCGCTGGTCTTGCCTCCGCCAACGTTGGCCTCACCACACCATCATCTCTCCCACCCAGCTGCGTCTGTTCTCGCTCCATCCACGCTCAGCTGCGGCTACGTCCATCACACCACATCATTGCAGCTTTCGTCTCGTCTCTGTCTCGATTTAACTTCAACGTCACTCGGTCACGCGGTCAGATTTGGGTCGTTCCTGTTCTCCTTTGTCTACGATCCTGCTCACACGACAACGGCGATCACCGAATCGACTGCACTCGTGTTCTCCCCATAGCGGCATTTCGGTATCTCACCTATCCGTCCTTCGCGCTCACTCGATCGGACGCATTGCTTTTACCCTGAGAATTTTTCTCTGCCACCTTTGACATCGGCCTCTTGCATATCGCCGGTCAATAGCGCATCTTTGCTACCAAGCGCACTTCTCAGCAGTCCCATCGCCTTAGTCCTACACTCGGACTTCGGCTTTACAGGCGTTCAGCTCATCACATAAAGCAAGCTCCAAGCTTCTTCCTTTCTCTGTAAGTGTTTATTCTTCAATTTCGATCCATCTTAGGATCCCAGCAGCGCAGATTTTGGTGAACAGCAGGCACCGCTTCTCTGGCAACTCAGGAGTTTGTCAGCTTAGCATGGCTTCGATGCCTCGCGCAGCGGATGCAAAGCAGAAGCAGTAGGAAATCGCAGTAGCAACCAGTGCCTCATACGCTCGCACGCGTATGCTCGATGATCACCCCGCCACTGTGTCGAGTCGGAGCATGCAGTTTGGAGGATAGATTGCATTCTTGTGCGACGATCCGCCATCAAGCGGTGCAAGAGATCCATCAATCTGGCGATTCGGTATGGGTGGCTTTTTATGTGCGAACTGCAAAGCCCATATCCGCGATGCCCCGACCGATTACATGATCAAAGAACTGACGATCTTGTCTCCTACCTCTCTTCTGTCCGCATCCATCACACTTCAACGCGTTTGGATCTCCCGAAACCACGGTACTTTGTGCATGCATTCAACGCTCTCGCCTTTCTACTCCACTTGCGGCCTTGCATCACCATTCGATCCTACACTCCTCAGGCCGCCTATCTTTTAGCACAATGGCTGACAACACTACCCCCGAGGTAGATCTCGATAATGTCATCGACCGTCTTCTCGAGGTGCGCGGCTCGCGTCCCGGAAAGCCTGTCCACCTTGAAGAGTACGAGATCAAGTACCTTTGCTTGAAGGCAAGGGACATCTTCATCAACCAGCCCATCCTTCTCGAGCTTGAAGCCCCCATCAAGATTTGTGGTGACATCCACGGTCAATATTACGACTTGTTACGTTTGTTTGAATACGGTGGCTTCCCACCCGAGGCCAACTACCTCTTCCTCGGAGACTATGTCGATCGTGGCAAGCAGTCGCTCGAGACCATCTGCCTTCTCCTCGCGTATAAGATCAAATACCCCGAGAACTTCTTCATCCTTCGTGGCAACCACGAGTGCGCATCCATCAACCGAATCTATGGCTTCTACGACGAGTGCAAGCGCCGCTTCAACATCAAGCTCTGGAAGACATTTACCGACTGCTTCAACTGCCTTCCCATCGCCGCCATCATTGACGAGAAGATCTTTACCATGCACGGTGGCCTTTCGCCCGACCTGCAGAGCATGGAGCAGATCCGTCGTGTGATGCGACCCACCGACGTGCCAGACACCGGTTTGCTCTGCGACTTGCTCTGGTCGGATCCTGACAAGGACATTTCTGGATGGTCAGAAAACGATCGCGGTGTCTCGTTCACTTTCGGCCCAGATGTCGTTTCTCGGTTCTTGCAAAAACACGACATGGATCTCATTTGCCGAGCGCATCAGGTCGTGGAGGATGGTTACGAGTTCTTTGCCAAGCGACAGCTTGTCACCTTGTTCTCGGCGCCCAACTACTGTGGAGAGTTTGACAATGCGGGCGCAATGATGAGCGTCGACGAGACGCTTCTTTGTTCCTTCCAGATCCTCAAGCCAGCGGAGAAGAAGCAAAAGTACGCATACGGTGGTATCAACATGGGCCGTCCCGTCACACCTCCCAGGAAGCAGAAGAAGAAGTCGGATGGCAAGTGAGTGGGCTCAACGCTCCAGCTCGGGGCTTGGGTGCAAGGGTGGCCGTCAGCTCGGGAACAAGGATTGTGGCTCGGCGGAGGGCAAAGAGCAATCGGCTGGGCTTCACTGGTATGCCAGCAGGCAGCAACATTCTTGGCAGCGGTGCGATTCGGATCAACTACAGCTCAGCAATTTGTCTCGCTTTCTCCTGGATTTTTCCTTCTTGCTCCGGCGCTCAGTCGTGATGTACAACAAGCAACGTTCTCGGGTCACTCCAGCGTCATTTGTCATATGAGGAGCGTGCGGCCTAGCAGTACCAAATTCACACAACACTCGCAGCTCGATGATACTGCTCTCCATTTGCACCAATCGACGTTAGTAGTTTGACTTCTTGCCTCTCTTATGGTCTCGCGCAGTCAACATTCAGGGGAAAGCGCCTTTAGCAACCCTTGTCATGCGGCAATATTGTGCGTCTCCATCCATGTCTTCGTCGCCTGCCGCAGCCCTCATTGATGCTGCGTGCCTGCTACAGCCCTCTCTCCGCCGTCATAACACTGCCACCCCTTCCCCCTCCTTCCCTCGTTCATGCCAGCCGTCCTTTCCTCTTCACTTCATTGGCCGTCACCATCTCCCTCCTTTCTCTGTGTTGTTTTTGTTTTCCTTCTCCACCATTTTTTGTTTTCTCTTCGATACGATGCAAATGTGAATCATGTCCCCTTCTGGCCTTGTTGTATGCCTTTACGAGCGTGTGCGGTTCTATCCCCTCATTGTGAGCGACTCTAGATCCAAATGTGGCGCAAACGAAGTCGATCTAAACGGACATGACTCGAGCACAACCAGAGCAAACACACGCTCAAAACAACTGGGTTAAGCAGATGAACTGGATGCATTGTGACGTGACATAGTATAAAAGATGTGCAGGGGTTGCAAGAATGAGTGGATTTATTTGCTGCCGTTGGTAGCGGCACGATCGCGCACATACCCAGCCGCCTGGTTTGCGACCTTTGGACCCAGACCAGGGCCCAAACCAGCCTTATTCTCGTGAGCACTCGAACCGATTTTGCCCCAACCTGGAGCATTGGATTCAACATTCTGCTGCCAACGGCTGATCAAGCTGCTTACACCTTTGAATCTGTCCTCTTCCCCTCCTCGTCCTGCATTTGCTGCGGTTGTGTCGTCATTTTGAGAGCAAGACTCGTCGAGAGGGTCTGGAGAGGAGGAGGAAGAGGTGCGTTTGTGCAGGGAGGTGGAGGCGGCGGGGAGTGCAGAGTTTTTGATAACGCCTCCTTTGGAGGCGGCTGCACTGAGGGCTGCCTCGCGCTCCCAGGGTTTCATGGCAGAGGGGGAGGCGAGAGAGGCACCGCGAAGATGGGTGCTTTTGTTAGGGCGGATGGGGGTGGGCCGTTTGGGTTGGATGATGACTGGTTCGGCTTGCTGTGGTTCGGGTTTAGATTGAGATTGGCGCGCGGACATCATGTTGCTGCGAGGTCGAATGACTTCCGTAGAAGCAGCGTTGGTGGTGGGGGATGGATCGAGTGAGAATGAGCCGAATTTATCCTTAATCGTTTCGACAGGGCTAGAAGGGGACGCTGGGGATGTAGCCACGTCCACCAACTGCTTGGACGATGCAGGCGCGGGTTGGGGATTCCACCTCGAAGCAATGGACACAGAAGGCTTGCTGTTGCTGTACGAAGGCGAAGCAGGACCAATGGAAGGAGGAGAAGATTTCTGCTCTGCGACGCTATCCTGTGTGCTGTTGCTCCTCGAAATGGACAGCTTAGCAGCACCCGCCTGGAGCTCAGGCTTGGGAAGCGCATTCATCTCTTCTTCATCTTCTTCGTCCCATGCGGGCGCCTTGACTTTGGCAACCGATGGCATCGGCGGGCTCTCCTCCACCTCCTCCCTGTCCTCCTTTTTCACTACAGGAGCAGCATCGACAGAAGGCTCGGTCTCAGGCTCGTCCGCCGGGCCCCGTAAGAGAGCCTCAAG